AGGGTCTGCTAGCTGGGTGCTGGCAGGCTTGCACCTGGCACGGGCACCGTAGCCAGCCCGTGCCCCTTTAAGGGGTCCGGGGCTGGGAGGGGGGCATAGAGTTTCCTTGGTGTTGGCCAGAGTGGCCACCAGGGAAACCTGGGGAGGGCTAGCCTCCCACTAGTTCGAATTAAGGGTCTACACACCCCTTAATTCAAACTAGCTAGTTCGAACTAGGCTTAATCCTCGTAAAATGAGGATTACCTAGTTCGAACTAAGCGCTCTGCTAGTTCGATTCAAATTCGAACTAGCGGAGCGCTAGTGTAGCGGCTAAGAATAGTAGAGTGTAGCGGCTATGAATGTTAGTTCGAACTAACGTCCGTTAGTTCGAACTAACATTGTAGTGTAGACATACCCAGAGAAAATAATCATATTGCCTCTCTAAATCCATGGCACATCCACAAGTAGAATACTGCTTCCAGATGTTGCCACACCTCTGAAAAGATATATTGGATTTGGAAAAGATACAGAGAAGAGAAAAAAAATAATCTGAGGTGTGGAACACCTTTTGTCTGAGGAGATATTAAGAAGTCTAAGACTTTTCAGCTTGGATAGGGGATGATGAAGGAGGGACATGATAGACATTCTAGAAAATCATGACTGGTGTGGAAACATTGAATACGGAAATGTTTACTCCTTCACATAATACATAAACAAGGGGTCATCCAATGAAATTAAAGAGCAACAGATTTAAAATAAATGATATAAGTAATTTTTTCCACAGTCAGCCTGTGAAACCCGTTGACTTGAATATAGCAGAATTTCAATAAGAACTTATGTAAGTTCAAAGACAATGAGTCCATCAATGGTTATGAGGCAGGATCAGCAGGGATCCAACACCATAGTCTGCGTGTCCATAAAGTCTGTTTTCCAGAACATGGTAGTGGGTGACAGGTGATGAATCCCTTGATAATATCCATATTCCATTCATTCCTTCTAAATCCCTTTGGTATTGGCCAATGTTGGAAGACGAGATACTGGATTAGACGGACCCCTGGCCTTCTTCAGAATGGTCATGGTGATATAGAGCCCAGATGTATCTACCCCCCCACAAACACAGTAACACACTAGACTCCACACTCCACCCAGAGTTGAGATTTCCCCCATGAGTCTTGGCAAGGTCTTCCCACACAATTAATAACAGATGAAGCATATATATTAACATTTTAAAGTTAAGTAGAACTTTCCGCAAGATATAAGAACATGTTTGTACTAGAATTGAAAGGGTCTTATATTTGTTTTTCTCTCTTTGGTATAGGAATGAAATACAGTGCTCATTTCAGTTAATTGCTAAGTTACATGCCAAAAAAAGAGAGGTTTTGAGTGACATAGTAGATCCTTGAATCATGGATAACAATGTCACGCCTGTCAACATCTGGAATGGCTCCCTTGAAGCTTCTCTGGGGGAGGAGTGACATGGACATAATCAAGTGAGTGACAGGGGGAGGGGAGGGGAGGGGAGGAGAACCAAGCGGCAGGTGTGGAGCCTTGTGGGGAACAGGAAGAGTCCTGGATGGAAGATATGGGCCAAGAGATGAGGCCTTAGAGGACCAAATGACAGAAATGAGGGTATGTCTACACTACCCCGCTAGTTCGAACTAGGAGGGGAATGTAGGCATACCGCACTTGCAAATGAAGCCCGGGATTTGAATTTCCCGGGCTTCATTTGCATAAGCGGGGAGCCGCCATTTTTAAATCCCCGCTGCTTCGAACCCCGTGTAGCCGCGCTACACGGGGTTCGAAGCAGCGGGGATTTAAAAATGGCGGCTCCCCGCTTATGCAAATGAAGCCCGGGATTTGAATTTCCCGGGCTTCATTTGCATAAGCGGGGAGCCGCCATTTTTAAATCCCCGCTGCTTCGAACCCCGTGTAGCGCGGCTACACGGGGCTCGAACTAGGTAGTTCGGACTAGGTTCCTATTCCGAACTACCGGTACACCGAACTACCGGTACTGGAACGAGGTGTACCAGTAGTTCAGAGTAGGAATCCTAGTCCGAACTACCTAGTTCGAGCCCCGTGTAGCCGCGCTACACGGGGTTCGAAGCAGCGGGGATTTAAAAATGGCGGCTCCCCGCTTATGCTAATGAAGCCCGGGAAATTCAAATCCCGGGCTTCATTTGCAAGTGCGGTATGCCTACATTACCCTCCTAGTTCGAACTAGCGGGGTAGTGTAGACATACCCTTAGAGATGTGTCCATTCCATGACATACAAACAGAGAGATTTCCCAGTGTATCACACTGATACTACAAAGGAAGGTCAGGAAAGAGATTAATGACTCCTTGAATGTCCAGGAAAGTAATTTAGGGCACAGGGCCCGGCATCATGTCTCCAGCCAGCTTTGGATAGTCCTCCATCTGAGATCCAAAGTATCACAAGAAAACTTTAGATCCCTTTCTGAGTAAAGAGCCGGAGCAGCCTGTCCCGGATCTGTTTGGTCCTAACCCCATAGATGATGGGGTTCAGCACTGGGGGGAACAGCACGCACACATTAGCAAAGAGAACATAGAAATGCAGAGCCACACTCTGGCCAAACCGGTATGTAAGGACAGAGAAGAGACCTGGGATGTAGAAGGCTAAGATGGCACAGAGGTGGGAACCACAGGTCCCAAAAGTCTTAAGTCTGGCGTCCTTGGTGGGGAGGCTGAAGATGGCCCTGAGTATCAGGGTATACGACACAACTATAGAAAATATGTCAAGACCAATCTGCAAGACGGCCGCAAAGAGGCCATAGTAGCTACTGATGCGGATGTCGGCGCAGGCCAGATTCACCACGGCTGTGTGCTCGCAGCACGTGTGAAGGATGACGTTGGTTCTGCAATATGGCCACTGCCTCGCCAGCAAGGGACAGGGCAATGTGATCAAGCCACCACGTAGCAACATGGCCAGGCCGATCTTGCCCACAATAGGGTTGGTCAGGATGGTGGAATGTCTCAGGGGATTGCAGATGGCCACGTAGCGATCCAACGCCATGGCCACAAAGATCCCAGACTCCATTGCAAGGAAGCAGTGAATGAAGAACATCTGAGTGAGACATGCACTGAAATTTATCTCTCGGTCATTGAACCAGAAGATGCTCAGCATTTTGGGTACGGTGGATGTGGACAGGACCAGGTCAGTGGCAGCCAGCATGCAGAGGAAATAGTACATGGGCCCATGGAGACTCGGCTCCATCTTCACAATGAGCATGATGGTGAGGTTACCCAAGAAGGTGATAGCATACATCACTGCAAAGGGGATGGAGATCCAGACATGGGCCCCCTCCAGGCCAGGGATGCCCAACAAGATGAAGGTGGAGGGATTGGGGGAGCCGGTTGCATTGGAACGTGACATGGAATCACGGTGAACGTCTCCAACTCTGAGGTAGAGTGTTGTCTCCTGTCCGTTCTGTAGGTTCTCTTGTCTTCCCGTGTGCCTTGCGTCTAAGGTGTTGAACGCAGTACAAATGCCTAAATGGATAGACAACTTTAATAAGATACACAACATACACCACTAGAGGCTGCTCTCATGGGTGAAGCAAATTGGTCACCCTTTACACACTGGGAAGTTACATTTTCATTATTCAGAGTAATGGATTCTGAGCAACTAACTCTACTAAGGCCAGTTCCGTTTCTTGTCTTGTTCCATGTGTCATGACTTCCTGCATGTCTTGTGGGGCAGACCTTAAAAGGCACCAGCTGGCAAAATGGGTCTGGGTTCTGGTTATCCATCGTTGCTGCATTGAGAGCCAGGCTAGAAAGTCCATGCTTTTGAGAGATCCCTATGCACCTGCTTGATAAAAATCTGAGATAGGGAAAAAACAAATCTTTGCCCAAACAATGCAGAGTCTTGTGGCATCTCAGGATACTTTAATACAGCGGAGTTATTGTGTGATACTGGAGTCATCCAGAAATAGCTATTCCACAGTTTTTATATGAACATGTGATTTTGAAACATTTCTTGAAAAATGGGCATGTTATTCCGGCATCCCTATCACCGTTCCACGAGGGATAAGGGATGTCTTGAAATAGCACATTAGTTCAAAATTTGGTGCATTTACACAGCACCCTAAACTTGAAATAAGAAATGCAATTTGCACTATGCAAATTGCTTATCTTATGTTGATTGTATTTCAAAAGAGATTATTTCAAAATTTGGGCATCTACACTGCATCACATTTCAAAATAACATGCTATTTTGACAGAGCTCTTAAACTTTGTGAAACGAGAGTTACAGGGATGCAGAAATAGTACGCCCATGATTTTGAAAAATGTTTCCAAATAATGGGTGCATTTAAAAGATGTGGGGCAGCTATTTTGGGATATTGGAGATATCCTGAGATAGCCCCACAATCTAGGCATGCCCTAAGAGAATTCTTTGGGTATAAGCTTTTGTGGGTAAAACTGATGAAGTGGGTTTTACTCACCAAAGCTTATGCTCTGATAAATCTCGTAGGTCATTTTTGCACTTGGAGATTAGTCAGAATTTACTTTAAGTTTGACTTCTGGAGACCCAATTTTACAAATTCGAAGTCCTGTGAAATCACTATGGGGCAGAATTGATTATTCCGTCAATTATTCCAAAATAGTGTTGCTATGTAGACATACTTTTAGGCTGCATCTAGACTGGCAAGATTTTGCGCAAAAGCTACCGCTTTTGCGCAAAATCTTGCCACCTGTCTACACTGGCCGCAAGTATTTGTGCAAGAACACTGACTTCGTACTGTACAAAATCAGTGGTTCTCGCGTAAACACTCCGATGCTCCCACTCAGGGATAAGATAAGTATTCTTGCACAAGAGGCCAGTGTAGACAGCCAAGTTAATTTCTTGCACAAGAAAGCCCAATGGCTAAAATGGCCTTCGGAGCTTTCTTGCGCAATAGAGTGTCTACACTGGCACGGATGCTTTTGAGAAAAAGATGTCTTTTGTGCAAAAGCATCCGTGCCAGTGTAGATGCTCGCTTGCGCAAATATTTTTAATAGAAAAACTTTTCTGTTAAAAGTATTTGCGCAAAATCAGGCCAGTCAAGACGCAGCCTTAGAGACTAACAAAAAACAGACAGACAGACAGATACAGAGATAGATAGATATCATGAGCTTTCGTGGGCACAACATACTTCTTCATATGAGTGGAGCAACAGGGACAGAAAGAATCGCCAAATTTAAATCAGAAAAAGAAGGCGAGAAAAAATCTGTTAATTATAGTGCCTGTGCTGAAAGAGGCTGCGGGAGTGGGCTGGAAGCGTCCCATACTTAGCTTTGAATGTCATTTGGGTGTTGAATATAATGGCCCTTCCAGTTCATGTCTTTGATCAGTCCCTGGGAGATAGTGTTGAATTGGCATATGAAGGCCAGTTCTGCTGTCTCTCCCTCTCTCTCTAGTTGGTTCCTGAAATTACTTGGCTATTTTTAAATCCATTAACGAGAGTCTGGCCATGTTAAAATGTTGCCCCATATGCTTCTGTGTATCCATTAGAGATTCGAAATTAGTCTCTTAGGCTATGTCTAGACTGCAAGCCTCTTTCGAAAGAGGCTCTTTCGAAAAGAGGCTCTTTCGAAAACAGACCCTCTTTCGAAAGAGAGCGTCTAGACTGCACGTTGAACTTTCGAAAAAGCGGCTTGCTTTTTCGAAAGAAAGCATCCAGTGAGTCTGGATGCTCTCTTTCGAAGAAGCCCTATTTACATTGAAGAACGCCTTCTTTCGAAAGAGGAACTTTCGAAAGAAGGCGTTCTTCCTCGTGAAATGAGGTTTACCGCCATCGAAAGAAAAGCCGCGTTCTTTCGATTTAATTTCGAAAGAACGCGGCTTGAGTCTGGACGCAGGGGAAGTTTTTTCGGAAAAAGGCTACTTTTCCCGAAAAAACCTCTGAGTCTGGACACAGCCTTAGGTGCTACAGGACCACTCTTTTTTTTTTAAGTTGTATAAAGTGACAGACTAACAGGGCTACCCCCCTGAGACTTTTAAACATGCCGAGTCTGCAATGGGTAAGTTTCAAAGGGACAAGGGAGGCTGCAAAATAAAGAATAGAACGCATCACATTCCCATGGGCAGACAGAGATGTGTTCCCAACATGCTAAGAGTTACTAACATCTAAAGAGACCTAAATATAGTCCTGTATTTTGTTTCAGCTACACCAGACTAACGCAGCTACATTTCTATCACTACAGAGACCTAGTGCTTCAAAGAGACAAATTCCCCAACCCTGAGGGAAATCATCAATGACTCATGGGTGGAAAAAAACACAAACAAAATGGGAATGACAATTGCATGTGGTTTGAGAAGGGATCACGAGAGAGCTAAAAAGCCAAGTTTCCATCGTCAAGTAAGTAGAGAACTTTGGGAAAAAAACTTGGGTCAGGGGCCCCATGAATGCAGAAGTTGGGCAGAGGACCAAAATATAACTGGGGCTATGTCTAGACTACAATGATTTATCTGAAAAGGGTATGTAAATTGTGCTCCGCAATTCTCATACCTTTTTCCAACAGTTTTTTTGGAAGAGACTTTTCCGAAACTTGGCCAAATTTTGGGAAAAAACCCTCCTCTTTCAGAAGATCCCTTCTTCCTTGTGAAATGAGGAAGACAGGACTTCCAAAAGAGCGTGTCTGCTCTTCTGTGTTCCTTGGATACAGCCGAGTTTTTCTGGGATACCAATGGTATCCCGGAAAAACCCGATAGTATGCACATGCCCAAATAGGGAAAAGGGAAAATCGAAAGTGATACAAATTGGGAGTTATGAAAATTGAGAAGGGACACTAAACAGGGAAATACCCATGCATGGCAGTCCTAAGGATACTAAACAGATAGTTATGAAGTATATTAAGAAGCAAAGAAATAGTAGAAAGTGTTTAGGACAATTCCTGGAGGGAGACAAGAAACTAGTTTAGCAAAAGGGAGATTGTTTCCAGGAATAGTTTGGCTCTGCCCTTGGCAAGAAGCAGCATCAAGTTCTCCTATTCCCTGAGGTGATAACAAATGAAAGAAAGATGAAGTTGTAAAAGGCAAATACAGGACAATTATGTGTTAAAAATAAACTATTAAAAATAAAGGGGAAGATTTGACAAGGTTAGGAAAAGAAGGACAAGGTGTTATGGGACTGGTGAAAAAGCAAGTTTAGGACTATCCAGTCAATCCTACGGTTTATGGGAAACAGGCTTTCTCAATCAAACGTTACACCCAGCAAGGTGGATGGAAGAATTCTTCCATTGATCATATGCTTTCCTCACAAGGTTTAGTTTGGCATACACATGTTTCTCAGGGGTGTGGATGATTTTTGCTGCTTCAAAAAATAAACATTGATGTTTGGTGCACTCTAAAATCATTGACACTAGCAGGAACTGATGTGTTTTGAGTCCTCCCATTCCCCTTTCTTAAGTCAGCCAAAAAAACCATTGCGCAAATGGAAGTCAGCCGCTGGAAAAAAAAATTCCCCGCTTTAAGTTGTTTTACAGTAAGTACCAAGTATTTTGGAACATATCTTGGACTTATAGGCTACATCTACACAACAGGGTTTTGTCAACAGAGGCTTTGTCAACAGATACTATCAACAAAGTTTCTGTCGACAAAGAGCGTCTTGACTACACCCAGTTCTGTCGACAAAGCAAGCCGCTTTTTCGACAGAGAGTGTAGACGCTTTTTTGAAAAAGCACAGTGCGGATGCAATAGCACCTTTTGTCAGCAGAACTCTGTTCACAAAAGGCGTTACTCCTTGTAGAGTGAGGTTTACCACCGTCGACATAACTGTCAACAGATTGTGGCGGTAGTGTATATGCAGGTATAGTTTTGTCAACAAAAGTCCACTTTTGTCAACAAAACCTTGTAGTCTAGACACACCCATGGTGAGGATGGCCTAGTCGGGGTAGGTTGGGCCTTCGTTGGGGTAGAGTGCATATTTTGGTTCAGCGCTCTACAGGAAGCATGTAGCGAACTGGAGGGGACCCAGAAGTAAGCATCAAGGTTGATCAAAAGGAGGAAAAACAAGCTGAACGAACAAGCTCAGGGAACCAGGTACATTTACTTTCTGAAAGAGTAGATTGGGAGAGGACCCCGAGTCAACCACATGAAAGTAAGTCAAAGCTATGTGAGCCAGGGAAGGCCATTTGAGTGCTGAAGGGTTTGCCAAACGGAGACAGATGGCCAGCAGTCTGCGATGACAGATACAAGAACTCCAGCATTTTGCATGATGTGCACATTAGATGACCCTTCCAGTCCCTTTCTGTGATTCTACAATGATAAATCCTAGTGCAGGTCAGAGAGTAACCAGACATAAGTTACGAAGTTTAATGCAGGGGAAAGGAAGAGCAATGAAATATCCTGTGTTGTACAGGAATACAGATGTGCAATCTAGTGATCCACTTTGACCATAACTGCAATGAATCGATTGACAAAGAAAGTAGACTGGGCTCTCTATTTACTGCTTTTTCATAACACACAAACAAAAGACCTTGCACTAACACTGATTATCTGAACATGCAATAGTGAGAAAAGATTTTTTTTTTGTATATAATCCATATTTAACCTGTGGAACTCCTTGCCACTGGTATTATTGGAGCAAAGAGCTGGGCTGACTGGGATTCACAACTGGATTGGCCTCTGTGGGTGGTGCTATTGGTACCACATTTCATTAAGGCTGTTTGACACCTTTGATTAGAAGATCTCGTATACAGTTGTATATAAGTTTGTCAAACATTAACAGGGTGAACCAAAATTTCCTGCAGTGGGTGTCTGCTTCAAGCTGAATTGTTTTGTTGTCTTTTTTTTTTTTTAAATCAAGCATAAGGCTACAGCCTACTTCTTCATTGAATTTAGGAAATAAGACATTTTGCCTATATTGAAAAGTTCTGACACAGGTTCAAGAGAGGAGCACTCACACCTCCATACTTTCCAGCAGATAAAAGTCAGAGGCTGTGGGATTTGGTCATATTTAGTCTGCAGAAGAGAGGAGTGAGGGGGGATTTGAGAGCAGCCTTCAACTCCCTGAAGGGGGGTTCCAAAGAGGCTGGAGAGAGGCTGTTCTCAGTAGTGGAAGATGGCAGAACAAGAAGCAATGGGCTCAAGTTACGGTGGGGGAGGTCTAGGTTGGATATTAGGAAAAACTATTTCCCTAGCAGGGAGGTGAAGCACTGGGATGCGTTCCCTAGGGAGGCTGACTCCTGAGGTCCCTGCCAGCCCTGAGAGTCTAGCATTCTAACTGACTCACCCAGTTCCTGCCCACAGAGAGCTTTTGCATCAGTGGTACCTGAGCAAACCACAGCCCCCACCTCAGACTTGGGTTTGTAGCATAAATCTACTAATTCCTGCCATTCCTGAGCCATGGAAATGTGCCTTCTTGGGGCTAGAGGCCATCGGCTGAGGGCACACAGCCAAGCGGGACAGTTTGACCGGTGACACTGGCACACACAGGCCCTGTGGCAAAGGCCCTGGGTAATTGGTGGCTGTGCAGAGTGGAGAGCACTTTCCTTCC